AGCCAGCATGGCTGGCTGGGGAATTCTGGAAATTGAAGTCCACACATCTTAAAGTTGCCAACGTTGAAATATACTAGTTTAGACAATCATTTTTTTTATCCCGCCTTTCTTATTTTTATAAATAATTCAAGGCAGTGAACTTAACTAATACTCCTGCCTTCTCCTACTTTCCCCACAACAACAACCCTGTGAGGTGAGTTGGGCTGAGAGAGAGGGACTGGCCCAAAATCACCCAGCCGGCTTTCATGCCTAGGACGAGACTAGAACTCAACATCTGCTTTCTCACCTGGTGCCTTAACCACTAGACCAAACTGCCTCTTTGTTAGATTTATACCCCCACCTTTCCTCCAAGAGTTCAAAGAACATACCTAGCACTCTATCTTCCAGTTTTCCCCCCACAACCTTGTGTGATAGAGTTAAGCTGAGATAATGACTGGCTTGAAATCTTCTAGGGAGTTTCGATAGCAGACCAGAAACCAGGTCTCCCCAAGTCCTAAACCAATACTTTAGCTACCACACCACCCGATACCACATATCCAGGAGAATCCTGAGCTGTTGAATATAGAAAATTTGCAAACTGGAAAATTCCCTCCATGCAGGCATCTGAATGAGGGTTTTGAGCAGCCTCTTCTCCAAAGTTTGGCTCTCTGCCCAAAAAGGATTCTTTTTTTTCAGATTAATTTGCCATTTTGTCTTGACAGATGGTGGTAGTGATGATAATGAGGATGATGATCTCTTTGATACTGAATTGATTCCTACAAAGTACAAGATTCCAAAATTACTGTCAGAGATTGGAACATCAGACAAACCTCTTCCCCCAAATCATCAAGGAGATAACAGTTGTAAGGCATCTTCTACACCTACCTCTTTAAAGGCTGATTTTGTGGAGTGTGAAGAATCTAATGATGAGGATGATGAAGATGAAGAGGAGGAAGAATATGAGAAAGAGACAGTTCTTCCTGAAATTCCATTACCGAGAACAGACTCCACTGCAGTGTTGCAGAACCCCAACAGCCTTGTCTGTTCAACAGATACAGGGAAGCAAAATGACCAACAGCAGTCTAACTTGGAAGTGCCAAAATGGGATAGTTTCTTTAGACGACATACAGAAGATTCAGAGACTTCTGACCATGAGGACCATCTGCCATGCACAGACTCAGCTGAGCAGCATTCTCCCTACCCTTTCAACGATGACGATTTTAGTGACTCAACTCACATCTCCTCTCAAAATTCTTCTCAATCAACCCACATATCTGAACAGGGTAGCCAAGGATGGGACAGTCAAGGTGATACCGTACTCATTTCCTCACAAGAGCGAAGGAATTTTGAGTTTAAGGGGGCAGCCGAAAGAATAATGACCTATACACCTCATCTCTTTACAGGAGAAAAGAAAATGGACTTGCCAAGTAGCAAGCCTTTGGATCATGGTGCACCTTCTACAGACAAAGTTAACTTTGAATGCAAAACCAAAGATTGGGGTACAGCAGTTCCCCATCAAACGGAATCAGTAGATGAGAGGAGCAAAGAAGAAGGAAGGTCAGAAACACTCAATCCAGAGGTCCAAATTGACTCCCAGAGCTCTTCTGATTTTGAAGTCCCACCTACTCCTGGGGCTGAGATTCCTAAACCTGAGCAACTGTGCAGTCTCTACCAAAAGCTGGCAGCTGGAGAAAGTCTACACTGATTGAGGAAGCCACAGGAACTATATGCTCTTTTAGTATTAGCAACATCAGCCTTCCTAAATATTGGTCCTGACTGTTGATTCGTGTCCAATTTTAGGTTTTAGCTTTTGAAAAATGCTGCAGTTATGAATGCATAATTTTAGTATTGTTTGCAGTTAACACTGAAAAGGGGAAAGGATCTGTGCAATCAATAAATTACAGCATCTGTCCGCTTGGGAATATTGAAAGCAAGTGGAAATGTAATGATAAAACAGGCATTGTGTTTTGGGTTCCAAACTATGGATGTCACAGTGGTTTTTCTTCCGCTTATTAAAAAGGAAAGATCCACTGGAGTGCTGATGTGAAGCATTTGGGCATTTCTCAAGCATGGCTTGTTGCAACCACAAGGAAAGACATGAGGCCAAATGGACATTTTTGTCATTCCATTCTTTCATGGCACTTACAGGAGGAGAAGCATTATTTCTGAGGCTTTTAATTTCCCTCCTGCAGAATTGGAGCCCACCAGCCTGTGGCTAGAAACCAACCAATTTTATTAGTCTTGAACATAATGTTTCAGCTGTCTGTAGTTGTTAAAAGTCAATGTTTTATCCCAGTTGTTATACAGTATCCTACTATGGATCTTGGCGTTTAGTTTCACGAGGTCTAATCATTTAGATTCTGTTCTTGACATACCTAAATATGTATCTTCCACAGCTCCCCTCCCACTGGCTTTCAGATCCTGAGTGAAGGTTGGATCTCAGGTTCCTCTTCATGAGTAACCCCTGGCCTGTTGCCTTCACCTCAAAATTGCCACGCTTAGGCCTTTGGGCCGTGTTCCTTTGCCTGCAAGCAGGACTCACTGTTTTATTTCCACGTAATGTTTCTGGTATTCTTACGTGGTAGCTCATAAGACCAGTTCTGTGGTTTCCTTTGGGGTCTTTAATAGTGGGAAAAGGGTGTGCTTCCCATACTCAAATTTCACTATATTATTTTTAAAGAGCTGGTTCTCTCCTTTCTGCTTCACTAATAGATCAGGGAATACCATGTGATAATTCTCTCTGCCTGTGCTAGGCAGAAACTAGAATCGCTGCATTTTTGTTTTGCAGCTTCTATCATGTGTTCAAAGCTTGTTTCTCCTGCTCGTAAATTACCTGACCAGCCTGGGATCGAATTTAGCCCACGTTAACTGAAGTGTGACTGTGATTGCTGCCAAATTCTTTTGTACAGTGCACTCACATTTATCCATAAAAGGATTTCTGTTTTGTAGTCTTTTTAGAGTTTTCATTTTCCCCTGTATTTTTCCATATCATTCCTACTGAAGGTTAATGTCATATGGGTTCTATTGCTCTATAAAGGGAGGCTGAGTAAACAAGGTCCCAGAGGCGTGCCTATATAAAACTGGAAGGGAAGTGTTAAGCTTATGAATAATCTTTTAACATACTGTACCAAGAGGCTTAATCATGCAAAAAAACCCATTAACAAGGTGGGCACAGTTCAGCCTATCCTCATGACTACCGGGCACTTAGGATACCTAATTTCTGATTAGTTTTTAACTTCAATGATTTCAGTCACCAATGAAGGCTTCCTGTTAAACTTATTACGTATGATGAATATAAAAAACATAGGGTTTATTATTCACAAATAACAGAAGTTAGATTCTGCAATGTACATGGTTCATAAAATAACTGAAGCCAATCCGCCAAGTTTTATGCGCATAGTGAAAGCTCCCAAACTGATCTATGGGTCTGTGTGTGTGTGTACTTCTCCAATGTACTAAACTTTTTTTACAGTTCATCGTGAATATGCCCAACTATTATCAGTGGCCTCTGAAGAATGAAACGATTTCACTCATTTTAGAGCTGCGTATGAAAATATTTACTATGACTGAGAAAACATGCTTTCAAATTACACCTATGAGGCCACTTCCACTGTAATGGCTTCAGATTTTCCAGTATCTTGATCTGTGCAGGTTACATGTAATGATCCATCCCTGAGAAAAGAAAGAGAAATTTATCCTCATTTCCTAACATTTAGATCTTAGCGACAGAAATGGCGTGTGAATCAGCACAAGGGATTTGATTGAACTACGGTGTCCCAGAAATTAGCGTGAGAGGGGTTACAGAGAAACACTATATTCTCTATATCCATTTTATATGTATTAATTCAGAAAGGGCCTTGCTATTACTGATTTCTTTCTTGGCTTGTAGCCAAGAAGAGCAGCTTCCTACGAACTGTTCCGTGCAAGGATGCTACAGCTGAAAAGAGGACTGCTACTGATTATCCATATCAGTGTTTCT